CGTTCGGTGTGATGGTAACGTGAGCCGACATACTTGATATATGGGGTTCAAATCTCGCGATTGACCTTTTCTACTGTGTTTTTTTTTTTTTACAGACGAAATCAGTGAATAAACAAACAAGGCGAACTGAGCAAGACTTATAAGATCAGCTTTTTTTTTTATAAATTTCGAACACTACATATAGGCCTATTGTTGTTATTGTTCTTTATTTTTGTGAAGCACTTACGTAAACTTAAACTTTTCGGATATAAACTCAAAAATTCGCACAGTCGCCATATTTGTAATTGTTGACTTACGAAGTGAATTTTGTGCCTAATATGTTGGTATCTAACTCAATACCAAATTTTACATATCTAGTTCCAGTACTTTGTTAGCTATCGTCACTAAAATAAAAGTGAACGAAAATTTTCGCACGATCGACATGTTGCTATTTTATACTTTGCGGAATTAATTCAGTTACATATTTTTCTAAGATCATTTGACATAAATCCTTCGTTGATTGGTTGATTGATTTAGTCATTCATTCACCTATTAGCGGCTCTATAGCCCTTTGTTGGGTCCAGGCAACTTTTCAGTTTCATAGCCCTTCACACAGTCCATCGGACTCCTTGGACGGTGGATCAGCCCGTCGCAAGGCCGATACCTGCTTACAGAACGACACAAACAGAATAAACGCACACAAACATACGTGTCTCGCGTGGGATTCGAACCCACAACCCCGATGTTCGAGAGGGCGAAGACAGTTCCTGCCTTAGACTGCGCTGCCACTTGCAGCCCCATTTCAGGATCCTAAATTAAGTGGCGCTAGTGTAGCTTTATAAGATTTGCACTTTTGCCACGTTATTACTGATAAGGGGATATAAAAAGTGAAGTTCTGGAAAGAAGTAAGAGCCTCCGTTCCTTTCGCGTGTGAGGTGCTGCAGTGATGGTAGGATGTCTGCTGTGGCCACCACCGTGTCAAATCACCGGACCACCACCTCCAAGTGCCAGCATTGTATTATGTCACAAATTTAGGCAGAGATTATCCGTGATAGAAGTAAAGTGGGATGGCGATAGAGAGAAGCGAAGTGAGAGAGGCAGGGGGATTGTGGTGCGATCACGTGATCTCTCTCGTTTAATTGCTCGAGTATTATACATGGAGGCGTCTCAAGGTTAAGTAATGCATCAATGATTTGAAGTTGTTGCCTCTTTATATTTCCATTGCGGCATTTTATTTCGGATTTATTTGTTTTTGAACAAAATTTCTTCAAATTTTTATGGAATCTCCGTTGCCTGGAATTTGAGCCTTTAATTCTCGATTGATTTTGTTAAAGAATATGTATTATTTCTTAAATCAAGAATTATTTATATTTTATACGTGATTTCTCTCATTTTATCGTACAGATAAATGTGATCACATTGTACACACAAAAAAACTTCGTGGTTTTAGTCAGCAAGCGAACAATGCCGACCGAGCGACCGCCGCTTGTCGGCGAAGTTAGTGCCAACTTTAGCGGGCAGAGGGTGTCGCGTGGTCAGCGCAGCGGATCCCCATTGCCGATAATCTCGGTTTTCTAGACCAGGATCGAATTGTACACTGTTTGAAAAAAAAAGTCGAATAATTTGAGCGCTTTTAAAGGAAAATAATCCAATTTCATCTTCCCGTAAAGTAGAATCTGTATTTCACGCATGCAACTGCATATTACATAAATTCGTCAAGCAACGTTTAATGTAGAACCTACAACAAAAAGTCTCAGCGAAATTGGTAGTGTACGATAGTTTCGGGTATAAAACATGCTCATAGACAGACTCAACCTCCAATAGGCATTCATTTTGTACTTGATACATAACTTGCAGTCGCGCCAAAATCCAGGACTGCCATTTCTAGAAAATTTATATTCTTACTATGAGCAGTCAGATCTGTGCGACATCTCAATTTTTTTATACGAATAAATAATTCGTTGGGTGAAAAATTAGGTTAGGTTAGGTACTAGTCGAAAAGGCGACACATTATCAGAAATTCTCTCCTTTTATGGAATCCGAAATTTCGTCACTGTTTTCTCAAGACCAAACCACTAGATTCTAGCCTGAGTCAGCTGAATCCGATCTGCTTTTACACAGTCTATTTATCTGAAAGTCGATTTTAATAGTACACTACATTCCACACTAGGTCACCCAAATGATCTCTTTCCTTCTCGTTTACCGATGAAAATGTACGAATTTCTTATTTCTCTGTGCTTGCAACAAATCTCTTCCCTCACTTTTCTTGATTTAATCATTATAATAATATTTTAGGAGTAGGTACTGTCATGATGATCGTTGTAAGGGGTGTGAATTTTTGTATGATTTGATTTCGAGTTCGTATTAGAGAAATAAACAGAAATTAGCCTATTTTCATTGTGCGCAGTCAGATGTAGCTCTGTTTCTTTTCATGATTAATGTTTTAATACAATTTAAAGGTAGTAAATTTGTTCCTCTGACGTCAGTAAATTTGGATGTATTTCGGTGATTTCAGTTTCTAAATGTTCTGATTAACCTTACGTTTTAAAAGGCCGGGAAAAATATAATTTTTCCCATGGTAGTGCGTGGGTAAGAAACTTTGTCTCTAGCATTAAGGGGGGACCACAAACTGAGGGTGTTTGAGAACAGGGTTATGAGGACTGAAGAGTGATGCAGTGACAGGAGGTTGGAAGGAACTGCATAATGAAGAACTCCATAAATTGTACTCTTCGCCAAGTATAATTAGAATAATCAAATCAAGAAACATGAGATTGGTAGGGCATGTAGCGCACATGAGGAGAGAAGAAATGCACACAGGATTTTCGCGGGAAAGCCCGAAGGATAGAGACCACTAAGAAGACATAGGCATAAATGGGAGAATGGCATTGAAATGGATCTCAGAGAGAGAGAGTGAGGTAGTGTGGACTGGATTGATCTGCCTCAGGAGGGAGATCGGTGTAAGGTTCTTGTGAACGCAATAATGAATCTTCTGGTTCCATAAAATGTTGGGAAATTTTTAAGTAGCTGAGCAACTGGCGGCTTTTCAAGAAGGGCTCAGCTCCATGGAGTTGGTAGGTTACAGGAGATTGGCATAATTTGTTTATTGTTTGACTTAAAAACAACTAATTCTAGATAAGTGAGCCTCTCCGCAAATGTCTTGCCCCTACGGGCTGCAGGAAAAAATTTAGAACTTGAATCTTTCAATGCCAGTTAGGTCTCAAATTGAATTGTTTTCCTTCTAAATATATTTAAGTTCCTTTCTGTTCTACAAACATTAGTAATTTCGTAGGTTTTGAGGGCCTCACAGTGGTGATTAAGAAGAATCATATCTTCTGGGATATAACACCTTGTAATCCGTTTAGAGTCAACAACGTTTCAAAGGAACATGTCGCCTCCGTCTTCAGGGTCGAAGAATAAGCCAGGCAAGAAACAGATGCTCTACTTACCACCTGATTTCACAAAATTTCTTGCTTTGTTTATTCTTCGACCCTGACGACGGAGGCGAAATGTTCCTTTGAAACGTTGGAAACTCTCAAAGGACTACAAGGTGTTATATCCCAGAAGAAGTTCTTCACTTGCAATTTCCCTTCGAAATACGTAACCACGATTTACAGTAATAGAAGATAAAAGAAAGGAAAGTTGTCCCTGTGCTTAATTAATTAAGCACTATGCCATGAAGTCTGTAGTGGGTCTGGAACGGGGTCCACTCAGCCTCGTGGGGATAATTGAGAAGCTATTTCAAGGAAATAGCGGCTCCGGTCTAGAAAACCGAAATTAAAGAACGTGGGGATTTGTTGCGCTGACCACACGACACCCTCTATCCGCTAAAGTTGGCACTAACTTGGCCGACAAGCGGCGGTCACTCGGTCGGTATAGTTCGCTTGCGGACTAAAACCACGGAGTTTGACGTGAAGTCTTATGGGGCAGTGGAGGTGTAGCTCCATCATTCTTGACCTCGGCATGAGATGGGGGTGTGGTTAGCTTCACGCCTCGGCCGCTTTGCCCCTGGGGAAATCGCCTACGGTAATCATTGGCTATGAGGCTGAGTGAAGGATAATTAAAACTCCAGTATCCAATCTACACAAATACAAAAATTGAAAAAAAAATATCTGTGTTGTCTCCCCTGTTCTTTACTGCTTCAGAAAGCAAACGTAATAATAATGAAAATAATAACAGTAATAGCATTAATGAGAATTATTTTAGTCAAATAGTAAGAAGTATGCATAAAATTTGCTCTTTTCATAATTTCGTCGTAAACTTCAGTTCTCTACAAAGAATTAATTAACCTTGAATTTATAACAATGTTTAAAAAAAATAACTTCGGCACTCAGCCGCGCAGGAAGTACTTTTATAAGTTTCTGGCAAGAAATATCGGTCTTTGAAATATATATAAACAGGAGACGCTGCGTTTCACATATGAAAGCCAGTACTTTCAATCTTTTGTAGAACAGTTCCAGTACGAAGTACATATCCACTATTGCATACAGACAGAGCGAAATATCTGGTTACGTATAAAAGATATCGGATAAAATTTAATAGTGAAAAGGAAATTATGGGATAGTCATTACTCGTTCGTTCCGATTGGAAATTCTCACTGAATACCACTCTCGAAACGGGCACGACGTTTATGTCATGTCCAACAGTCACAGCGACGGTACCAAGAGATAAACATTGTCTTCAAATTTACAGTTTTTTATTTAGAAACCGGTACCGTATTCTGTCTCTCTCGGCGGTCGTTGTTGCTAAGGAGTCCACCTTAGAAACAGCATTACGCGAAGAAGAACGCGACAACTACCATGACCTTCAATCTGAAGATAGACAATATATGGGACCGTCAAGCTTCCCTCCCCTCTGCCGCTAACCGTTCCAAACTTAGATGTCCTTACCATTAAACGTTTAAATTATTGTCTACCTTCGAACTAGCAGAAAAATGTTCTGCCATATTTGTTCTGGTAACCTAGTCAAGGGTCGGTAAAGGCAGGCGTGGCTCTCATGTTAAAAGTAAGGTGGTGTCTGTTGTTTTTACAAGGAGGGCTTCAGGAGAGGGAGTGGTATTATCATGAGAATATTCTTTGGAAAAGTATAAAAGCTGAAGAATTCCCTCGTACTCTTCGTACAGCAACATTAGAACTTCTTCTGTGCACACCAACTCTTACGGCTTCGTCAGTCCGCACCTATATTCGTCATGAAGGTGGTAAGTTAGCGACCTGTTTTTTTTTCGCCACCAAGGATTCTCTGTGTTTACCTTATTTATCGCAGCCAAATCAAATACAGCGTCACGTGGACCACAGTCATTTCTCTAAAACCTATTCAGTTTGTTTACTTTATTTAATGAGGCTTTCAGTTTCATAGGAGCCAGGATAGCGACTGGCTACTGCCTGGACGACCGACGAGTCGGAGTTCGAGTCCCGGTAGAGTTTAAGAATTTTCTCCATGTAGTCCAGTCCGGCTCTGGGGCCCACCCAGCTTCCTATCCAATGGGTACCGGGGGCTCTTTTCCCGGGGGTAAAACTGCAGGTGTGCGTGAAGCTAACCACTCACCTCCGACTAGTACCGAGGTCAAGAAAATGTGGACCCATGCATCCACTCCCCCATACGCCTTCATGGTGTAATGCTTAATTAGTTAAGCACAGGAATGACTTTATCATTTACATTACAGTTTAATAAGTTATACGGATCCCAGAGATTTCTCTTGTTTCTCTCCCCGAAGATGGAGTCATTGGCTCCTCCGAAGCGTTGGTATCCACCTGCTAGGCCATGCGGTCTCCTAACAGAGAATACCACAATATGTATTTTCATAGCCGTGTGAACCTCAAATATCCCAAATCCCAGCAGTTTCCAGTACGGGCCATTCAAAATCCGCAATCAGAACAGACTGTTTTCGGATTGAGCCGGAATCCAAACCGATTCAGGATCTCCTGCATGAAAACCACAAGTGATAGCCAATACACCGCAATATTCACGGAGTACTAATTTTTTTTTATTGCTAGTGGGGTGGGACTAAGTCTCTTGTACTGCGGCCACTTCTGGTCTGTTGTACCAGCCCCAGATGATAGGTGAGGGTGATTGTGGACCAACTGATGGAATGAAGATTGGTATGGGAAACCGAAGTACCAGACCCGGGATCGAACCCGGGCCGCCGCGGTGGGAAGCCAGCGACTAACCGCTTGAGCCATGGTGCGGCCATTGAGTACTAAGAATTATTATTATTATTACTTGAAATGTGTACTGTACCTAAGAGCTTCTTCAACCGATAACGGGGAAGTTTTCGCATTTATTTCGCCTTGATTTAGCGCAAGAAAATTTTATAATGTTGTTAAAATTAAAGTGTATCTGCATCCCAACGTTTTGCGACTATTATGGGACTAAAAATCAATTAAATTGGAGTAAGCAAGTTTAACCTGACATTTTAAGCCTTCTAACCTGTTGGGGAAATATTAAAAAAAAAAATATTTTAACTCCGGTAGTGGGTTTCTGCTGGTAAACACTGTCAGGTAAAGATAGTTTTTTTTTTTTATTTGCTTAGTGAGGGGCGGAGTCCAACTGGGTCCACTCGGCACGGCGGCCACTGATTGGCCTATTGTAGCCTGCCCCGGGTGATTATGATGATGGATAATTTGGTGGAATGAAGATTGGCAAGGAAAACCGAAGTACTCGGAGAAAACCTGCCACAGCGCCACTTTGTCCACCACAAATCCCATTTGACCAGACCCGGGTTCGAACCCGGGCCGCCGCAGTGGGATGCCAGCGATTAACCGCTTGAGCTAAGGCGCGGCCTAAGTACAGATAAAATTGTCCCTGTGTTTAACTAAGTAAGCACTATACAATATGTGCGTATGGGTGAGTGGATGTGTAGATCCACATATTTTATTATTTAGTCACCATTTGGAGGCGAGTGGCCAGCTTCGCTCCCAGGCCGCTTTGTCCCCGAGAAAAGAGACCCCGGTGCCCATTGGATAGGAGGCTGACTGGGCCCGAGAATCGGTCTGGACGACGTGGAGAATAGAAAATTTTGCGCCTACAGGAACTCGAACTCCGAACCCTCGGCCGTCCAGCCCTTAGCCAGTCACTACACAGACCGCGTCATCGCATTTCCGGCAAATAGTGTAAATGCGCCTAAACTTCATAAATGTAAAAAAGGCATGGCATACTACATTGCACACAAATGTAACAGTTAGATTTATGCTTCTCTACTTCAGTATTGACGCAAAGATTCAAATCAAATTCCCCTTATTATAATTTTCCAACAGTTGCCGTTTTAACTAATAAAATTGTAGTTCTTTTGCAGTTACTGTTTTGAGATGTCTCCCATGTAAAGCAAAAGACACTGTATACGGTGAATTTTGTAATAATTTTTTACGCTTAGTTTGTAGTAAATGTACGAGAATTATTTTCAAAATCGTACCATAATCTAACTCCTAAAGTTGGAGACAAAAGTTGCTTCAAAACATTGTTGCTATCTACGAAACTGCTCGGCATCACAACCCAGAAGTTCGTAATTTTCACATCAAAATTAGTTCTTACAGATAATAAACGTAAGGAGAATACAGTATTATTTCTATAAATTGATATTTCGGAAGAAGTGCCCTTGCATTTCTTATCGTAATAAAGGCTTTCACTTGTACGAGCAGTTACAAATTTGAGCAGTTTTGCACACGATGCGTAAAGTAACGAGACGTCATATTTCCTCAACCGAAATATACAAAGGGATCTGATGAAACGTAATGGACGTGCGGACTAAACATTTGTCTAGGGAATGTAATTTTGGATCTTCCTGTTGCAACTAAAATCATAAGCTCGTATCAATTTCAGACATATTTTACAAAAACGGCTCATCGTACACAGATTCTGAAGCATAACTTGTAGCATATACATCTCTAACACCAAAATTTGTTTGAAACATTTTGAGATGTGTATGGCCTATTTAACGACGTACAAGGTACAACGCGTTATGACTACGCATTTTTTATTTGTAGTATAGGTGAGTTTGGAAGGAGCCGGGATAGCTCAGTCGGTATAGCGACTAGCTACGGGCTGGACGGCTGAGGGGTCGGAGTTCAAGTTCCGGTATGGTCAAGAATTTTCGCTTCTTCACGTCGTCCAGACCAGCTCTGAGGTCCACCCAACCTCCTGTCCAATGGGTACCGGGGGCTCTTTCCCCGGGGGTAAAGCGGTCGGGGCCTGAAGTTGACCACTCAACTGCAGCTAGTACCGAGGTCAAGAAAATATGGATTTATGCATCCACTTCCCCACACGCCTTCATGGCGTAGTGCTTAAATAGTTAAGCAGAGGTACAACTTTTATGGGTGAATTTTGCAGCAAAATGTTTGTATAGGCTTGTGCAATGAATACACGCAAATGTTACTGCTGTATTTAAAATCGCAAAGAAAAAAATTTAAAATATATGTAAGCCTGCTCCCAATGTACTGCCGTGGTAGCTCAGTCAGTATTAGTGACGGGCTACGTGATGGCTGAGGAACTGGAGTTCAATTCCCGAGAAGGACAAGAGATTTCTTCCTTTCTGCATAGTGTCCATATCGGCTCTGGGGGGGGGGGGCTTTTCTGTGGGGGTAAAGCGGCCCGGAAGTGAAGCTGACCACTCACCTCCATCTAATACCGACGTAAAAAATTGTGGAGGTATACCTCCACCCCCATGCTTCTTCATGGTGTAGTGCTTAATTAATTAAGCTCAGGGATAACTTTAGCTTTTTACCCTCTCAGCATGAGCAGCGATATTCTCCCAAACGCGATCACAGTCGCCCCACGGTCTAAGGCATGAACCGTCTTCGCCCTCTCGAACACTGGGATCGTGTGAGCTTCTCACTTGCATCCGAACGGTTCGATACTTGAGAATTTATCCATTGTAGGTCGGTGCCTGTTGAATGTAACATTCCATCTTCAGAACCAGGGGACTTCAGATCTGCCCCAACATACAAAATGGCGACTTTCTCCTAAAATGGCTGCAACGATTGTGGTTAGATTCCGGTAACTTGCTGGGAACATCTCTCTAAATACAACCCGCAATAAGGGCCCAAAGTAAAAATGTCGACTTTGTCGAATCTGCATTTTCCGGTCAGTCGGGTATAATTATTACTCGATTTTCAGCAAACAGCCATGGTCTACCGAGCAAAAATCGATTCCCTTTCCATGGTAACATAGTCAAGGTCAATCGTTTATGAAAACATATGTACAATGCCTTTGCACCGATGTCTTCATATAGCAATGAGCCTTTGGTTTCCAAAAAATTGGGGGACTTTTTGGTTAAATGAACGGTTTCTGACTTCTCAAAAAGACTCTGTATCCAGAGTCAGTTTCTGAATCAGTCCTGAACCTTGTGGCATGGAATAGTAAGTTATATGATTACTAAACAACTGGTGCACTATTACAGGTTGCTACCATTCTGAGCCTTGTTGCGGCAGCAAGTGCTGCTGCCGTGCTCCCAGTGGAATCCTCCGTGGTGAAGTCTGACCGGGTTGGTGATAGCTTCTCCTACAGCATACATCAGAACCAGGGTTACGCTGTTGGTGGCGTTCCATCCCTGTACCCCTATGAATTTAGAGGCGACAAAGTTAAACAAGTCGTCCCTGCCACTGCATACATGGCGCCTGTGGAGCTGAAATCCACTGAGTACAAACATGTTGTTCCAGTGGCTCCATTTGAAGAATACAAGCATGTAGTTCCTGTATCGCCCATCCAGCTGAAATCAACTGTTCTTCCTGCTGCCACATATGTGTCAGCTGAGCCACTCAAGAACATTGAGCTGAAAAGCTATGCACCATCAGCATATGTTGGTCCGCTTAAGAGCTTTGTCCACCCTGCAGCTACTCTTCTTACTACTTCACCAGTTAGGAATGTCGGCTACATTCAGCCTTCTCCTGCCTATGTTTCGCCTGCTGTCGCTTATTCCCATGACACTGCTGTACCCATCACATATGGATCTAACATTTATGCCTATCCCTACATTAAGCCAGAAAAGATGTTCTGAAAGTAATCTTTATGGCATCCCATTGTGTACCTATTCTGCACCATTTTCTTTCTTTCTCCTATAATCCTATATTCATATATTGGCATGATATTGATGACCCAGGCCATGATAATGTGAATGACATTACTTGAATGGTGAATGCATGTGATTTGTCATATTTTGTAGCAAAAAAATATATAAAAATGATATAATAAGTGCTCTGCCGTCAACTTCAGTTTTTATATTTATTTGCACCCTTCATCATCATCATCAACATCACCACCATCTCATCATCATCCACTGATCTTTCCAAAGTCTCCTCCGTTTGCATGTATCCATCTCTGAGAAATTAACTTGTGGTTGTGTTCACCATTTGCCTGCCCTATCCTGAATTCACTCTCTCACTTAGCCTCTCCACTTTATTATTGATCTCCTGAACACTTGTGTATTCCATATATTATTTTTTTATTAAATTAAAGTAATCCCATTTTTTGTTCACCCGTAACACATGTGCTTATCATTGTATCTCCAATATCACCAATTTTCTTGCAGTGTTTCTATCTTCAAATCTCGCATCCTTTACTCCAGTTCCTGTGTTCCACACCTGTTTAAAGTTCCACTTGCATGAAATATTAGTGAGCTAGCAAGTATTCTGGCACAATATACATGAAGGGAATTTGGACCAGTATGGCTATGCTGAGTCATTGTACAATCGTAAATTGTGCCTATTTCTAACATACTATCCCAGCAGCTGACTGATGGTACTAAGAAAAACCATAGAAGATTTAGTAAATAAACTCAGCCCCCAAGGACAGGAGTCAAATCCTCCAAAACATGACACAGGAGTGCTCACCACTGTCTCATGACATCTGGCTAGACTTCTGTTGTTAAGAGGAAATCTGCTATATGGAATGAAGGGAGTGAGGAAGAGATGAGGTAATGTAGCTATCAGAATCAGTTATGTATTGTACATTGTGAAGGGTGGTTTTGGAGTCTGCATAAACAGACAACTGAATATGAAACTGGAGATTGAGCGTTTTCACTTAATGGGATGAAGGAGATTTCACAGTGGAGACTGGATATTTCAGTCAATAGAGTGACTGTCTATAAGCTGGATGATCAGCTGTAGCAGGGATATTGGTGCAAATTTTATGTGACCTTGAAATATGATGTATTCATTATTATTTCTTGACATGTCCAACTGTATTCGCTTCAGTTATGGACGAAAATAAATTTGAAAATATCACCCCTGTGCTATCACAACCCCAGTAGCTCTGGGGCCTAACAGACTTGTCATCCAGTGTATACTGGGGCTCTTGCTGTGGCAAAAATCTCACCTCCAGTGCTGAGTTTAAGAATGTGAGGAGCTACTACTCTATTCACCATACACAATGTACAAGGATAACTTTATATTTTTAGGAGATTTCAGTATTCCTGAAATCATTGAATAGCATGGCTTGATAAAGACATTGAGTAAAGTTCTATATGTACTTTACCTTGACAATACAGATGAAGTTGCCTGATAACACATAGGACCGGAGACTGTGGGTTCTGTCGTTTATAATGGTGAGCATTAGGATAGGCAAAATTCACAGTGGCTGCATTGTATCTGTCATTTAATGTTTAAGGTTTGTAAAGCTAATAGATTAGCATCCATAGGAAGATCATAGACCACTCTCACAATCCTCAGTTCTACATGTTAATGTTGTTCCCAGATATTTAAATTCTGAAAAAGTCTTACCTAGCTGTATTAAGAATGCTCCATAAACTTATTAATTCTATTTGGAATAAGGAAGAATCGCCAGATCAGTGGAAGGAGTCTATTATTGTACCAGTTCACAAGAAGGGCGATAAAACTGACTGTAGTTATTAACGTGGAATATCACTCCTATCAACTTCATACAAAATTTTACCCAATATCCTTCTCTCAAGGGTAAGTCCATATATAGATAAAATTATTGAGGACCATCAGTGTGGGTTTTGACATAACAGATCAACTACTGATCAGAATAAATAATGAAACCATTGCTCACTTTCAACGTCTATTAGAGAATGAAACATGGAAACCTGTTTTTGAAAATAAGGATACAAACTATAAGTTTAATTCTTTTCTACAGATCTTTCTAAGTATCTTTGAAGCTAGTTTTCCAGTTCAAAATAAAAGTGTAGGGAGAATAAAAAATGGCTGGATTACAGAAGGAATTAAAATATCTTGCAAACATAAAAGCAGCATATATATATATATATATATATATATATATATTACAGGAAGTATTATAAGTATTGCAAAATTTTTAAGCAGAGTAGTAAAAGAGGCTAAAAGGCAGTTTATAGCAAAATCAGATAATAAGATAAAAACAACCTGAAATATAATAAAACACGAGTCAGGAAAATTACATCAGACTGAACAGATACCATCTGTTCTTATAAAAGTAAAGTAAAAAGTAAAGCTATCCCTGTACCAGGGCGTGCAGGCCCACAGGGTTGTGAGACGTTGAGGATCCCACATTATCTAGACAATCGGCTCAAAGATGGCGGTAAGGTTGTCAGCCTTACGTTCCGGCCGCGCTTTACTCTCCAGGAGAATTATTTAATTAATTCTTGGATCAATTTTAGGACCTTTGCTTTTTATAATCTATATAAATGTCCTTCCCCAACAATAAATACCTGATCAATGCCCATAATATTTGCTGGTGACACTAGTGTAATAATTTCTAGTAAGAATTTAGATGATTTCTGTATGTCATTGAACAGTGTTCTCTCTCACATGTGTAAATGGTTTGCTGCTAACAAACTGGCCATGAATCTAGATAAAACAAATATAATAAATTTTATAACAAATAATACACCTCAATATCCATTAAGCATTGGATATAACAATAAATACGAAATAGAAGAGTCAGTACACACAAAATTCCTTGGCTTACAATTTGATAACCACTTAAACTGGAAATACCATATCAACCAGTTGGTTCCGAAGTTAAGTGGGGCATGTTATGCAGTAAAAATTTTGTTACATGTCAGCAACATTGATACACTGAAATCAGTTTATTTTGCTTACTTTCACTCTATAATGAAATATGGAATGATATTTTGGGGTAACCCATCTGACAGCAAAAAGTATTTACATTACGAAAGAAAATTGTTAAAATCATGGTGGGGGTAAAACCTCAAAATTTTTGTAGAGAGCTATTTAAGAGATTACAGATCTTACGTCTTCCATGTGAATATATATTTTCATTATTAAGCTTCATTATAAACAACTAAGAACGTTTTCAGACCAATTTGGATGTACACAGTGTTAACATGAGAAACAAGCACCATCTCCATAGACTGGTTGCTAACCTGACATGTTTTCAGAAAAGCACATATTATTCCGGCATTAAAATTTTCAACACTCTACCATCTAGTCTCAAAAGTCTAATGAATGAAAAGGCACAATTTAAATTAGCACTGAAACGATGCTCAGATACACACTCACTCTACCCTGTTGATGAATTCCTACTGTCTAAAAACGACTTGTCCTTTTAAAAGGTTATGTTCATAGCATAAGTTGACAGTATTGACTTATATATGTGTATTTTTTTTGTGTCTCAGATGTATGTATTTATGGCTTTTGTATTTGTATGACTTGTTCCACACATCCTGCAGTCATTCTGACTTACTTTGGATCTACGGAATATAACGTATGTATGTATGATTTTTCGCATTCATCAGATTCTGGAGAAAAATGGGAGTATACTGAGACAGTACATCAGCCATTCATAGGCTTCAAGAAAGCCTGTAATTCAATTATGAAGGAAGCATTTTAAAATATTTTCATAAAATCTGGGGTAACCATGAAGCTAGTTAGGCTGATTAAAATGTGTTTAAACAAAATGTATGGTAAAGCCTGTATAGGTAAGCATTAGTCTGATAATTTTCCAATCCAAAAATGGTCTAAAACAAGGAGATGCTTTATCCCCACTACTTTTCAACTTTGCTTCAGAATATGACTTTAGGAATGTCCAGGAAAACTATGCGGGACTAAAATGAAATGGGACGCATCAGCTGCTGACAATGTGGATCTACTGGAAGATAACATAGATATCATAAAGAAAAACACAGAAACTTTAAGTGACACTAGTAAGGAGGTTGGTCTAGAAGTAAACAGAAATAAAACTAAGTATATGTTGCTGTCTTTGTCACCAGAATGCAGTGTAAAAAGTAAAAGTAAGTAAAGGTATCCCTGTAACAGGCTGTGTAGGCTCATAGGGTTGTGAGATATTGAGGTTCCCACATTTTCTTGACAATTGGCTCATAGATAGTGGTAAGACTGTCAGCCTTACCTGCCGGCTGCCCTTTACTCCCAAGAATATTCTTGGTACTCATTTCTGTTAGAGGCCGAGTCGACCACAGGACCATACTGCTGCTGGAAGGATTGGGTCAATTGAAAGAAATCCAATGTCCTCATCGGGACTTGAACCCATGACCTTCTGGCTTTGTAGCATAGTGCCTCAACCAACCACGCTACCGCAGTGCAAAATCATGACATAAATATAGTTAATAGATGTTTTGAAAATGTGGCACAGTTCAGATATCTGGGAAGGACAGTAACAAATCAAAACTTGATTCAGGAGGAAATTAAGAGACTTGTTCTGAATTCGGGTAATGTTTGCTACCATTCAGTCAAGAACCTTTTGTCTTCTCATCTGCTGCCTAAAAACACAAAACTTAGAATATAAAAACTATAATTTTGCATGTGGTCCTGTATGGGTCTGAAACTTGGTCTATGACATTAAGGGATGAATATAGACTGAAGGAGTCTGAGAACAAGTTACTGAGGAATATATTTGGACCAAAGAGAGATGAAGTGACATGAGGCTGGAGAAAAATGCATATTAAGGGGCTTCATAACTTTCACTCTTCAGCAGGTATAATTAGAACGTTCAAGTCTAGGAGGATGGAATGGGCAGGGTATGCAGCACAAATGTAAGAAAAGAGGAATGCATATAGAATATTGGTGGGAAAGTCAGGAGGAAAGAGACCACTAAGAATACGAAGACATAGGTGGGTGAATAATATTAAAATGGATCTTGGAGAGATATGATGGGATGATATAAATTGGATTGATCGGGCTCAGAATACGGACCAGTGGCTCTTGTGAACATGGTAGTGAACCTTCAGGTTCCATAAAATTTTGAGAAGTTCTTGAGTAGCTGCACAACTAGCAGCTTCTCAATGACTCAGC